GCACAAGTCTGATGAGGAGCGGCTGAGGGAGCTGGGGGTGTTCAGCCTGGACAAAAGGAGGTTCAGGAGGGACCTTACTGCTCCTTACAACCACCTGTAAGGAAGCTGTAAAGATAGGTGGGGGTTGGTCTCCCAGCTAACAAGTGACACAGTGAGAGGAAATGGTTTCCAGTTATGCCAGGGGAGGTTTAGGTTGGATATTAGGAAAAAATTCTTCACTGAAAGGGTGGCCAGGCATTGAAACAGGCTGCCCAGGGAAGGGGTATTAATTACCATCTCCGAAGGTAATTAAAAGGCATGTAGATGTGACACATACAAACATGGTTTAGACAGGCCTTAAAAAAAAAAAAAAAAAGAAAGAAAAAGAAAATGAACCTAGAATAAGCTACTGCTTCTAGTGAAGCAAAAGCTCTGATCTCTATATGGGGCCCCCACAGCAAAGGCTGTAAAGGACAGCCTAAGGTCCATTCCAGCACCAGCAATACCTCCTATGCTGAAGCACTGCACTGTATGAGCAGGCTTGGGCACACATTTAAGTGCAGATCATGGCAAAGGGCTCCATAAATAGTGTTAATTACAGCCTCTCTGCAAAGTAAATATGAAAATGGACTTCTCTATTTTGCATTCAGATTTTCACCAAAATGAATGTATCTGTCTAGGCTCTAGACCAAAAATATCAACAGAATTGTACTGCAGAAGTGGAATGATTTAAATCCTTCTGATTAAATGGTATGAAAAGAGAATCACAGGTAGAGCTAATCTGCAGCTGCTAAAATGCTTGCAAACAGCACATGCCTGAATGTTATCTGCTAAATCCAACCAGGATTATTTTCTCATGTGTTCTTTACATCTTTTTTTGGGTAACGTACTTTCTTCTATATGATTTTTTAAGGTCACCAATGACAAACTGTACTGTGCGTTCCACTTTGTGAAGTCAGCCACAATGATGTCTGTGTGAGAACACAGACATCAACACAGAACACACGCAGCAACACATCTCTCATTCCTGCTAAGCTTTTTTTCCTTTCTACTTAAGCATATTTGCACTTAAGTATTACAAAGCAAGTAGAGTAGGAAACTGTACTCAATCCTTTTGTCCCCGTTGTTCATATTAAATAGCACTAATACACGTATGTTCTAGTCAAAGAGGTCACACACTTTTCCTGTGGATATTTTTCCGAACTGTTTCTTGTGTATTCAGACTTTATGGAGTCAAAGGAGATTTCAAACAGATGACTGCATCACTTGTAGGATTAACACAGTACTTCAATCTCCTAGATTTCAGACTGAACACATTAGAATAAGTAAAGGGAATGGGGGTGAGGGTGTGGCAAACTACACAATAAGCAAAGATGAAGAATAAAATATATTTAAGTCAGCAGAAAGGAAAAAAGGGGAACCTACTTCGAAGAGTTAAGGAAGGACTTACAAAACTTATGGACAAGAAGCCATTAACATCACGATTTACATTTTCCCCAAATACTTCCATATAGAGCTCCACATCCCTACTAAATCTAAATATTTAGTTCTCAAGGGATGGTAGTCTACAGAATGCAGGAGAGAGAGTGGCACCAGCAAACTGCAGAGGCAATTAAAGATGACAGTGTGTGAATCCCAATATCTTTCCTCCTTCTACATGATACCCATCCATTTGAAATGGGAATAATAATTCTCCTTCCTCAAGTGTGGTGATCACATTGCCCGTGACCACGTGAAGAAGTATGCATGAAATAGTTTCTCTGCACAAAGTCTAGAATTTGGCAAACATAAAATATATGAGTTCATCTGAAATAAAAGTTTTGAAAATGGCATTTGGGATCTCAGTGACAGACATCACCAGAAGAGAAAGCTGTAATACTATACACCAGGAAAACAAGCATATCCTAAGCCAAAGGCGATTTGTGACATTTAAAAGAAATGTCTTAATAGCACAGTGCCCAAAATATTAACTTATATAAACCTATA